GCTCCTTCTCTTTGCTTTTTTTTAAAAAAGGGAAACTACACTAGCCCTTTTCCAGTCCTCTGGTACCTGACCCATTTCCCATGACTTCAAGAAGATCCCATGGCTTTGAAATCTCCTCGGCCAGTTAATAAACACTGAATGAAGCGTGGTGTGATTTGTGGGGTGCAAGAAAAGGAGCAAAAAGAAACCTAGACACACAACTGGAAGCCAGGACAAATAACGAAAAGTAGGAATGCTGCAGACACATCTAACGACACTTATTGGACTTGCTTCACAAAGGATACAAAGCATCTGCAGGAAGGCAGACATGAGAAGTATGACAACAGTTAAGCCTATTTGTAATGGTGGGAGAGAAGAAATCTGCAACACTAAACCACAGGAAGGAGCAAGCTAATTTGTGAACATTTAAGGTCATGCAAAAGTTTTCCATGTGATGGCAGCAACATACTGTGGGCCTCACCAGCCAGTGCTGAAGCTTTCCCCGCATGGGAATGGAGTGAGGCCTCATTAAAGCAGGCCAAATCTTATGTTAGCAAAGCTTAAAAACAAACTGTCTAGGCTGGGCCTAGGACAACAGTAAGTCTTTGCTGTAGAATTTAGCCATAATTAATCTCATCCCTTGGTGTGAGGAGCAGCAGCCAGCCTAGATTTAGAAGAATGAAACTTAACTGTGTGCACCTGCATAAAAACCCAGGAAATGGATCAAACAGGAAAAAAAAGACAAATATATAACCAATACAAGAATTGATTTTTGTGCTCTTATGGTTACTTGTAACAACACACACAATGTAGGTAACCACTCTTTAGCCTTTTTTTTATTTTATAAAAACGCTCAGAATATGTGACAGGAAGTGAGCTTCATGTCAACCTCTTATACTGTGTACACAGGTAGTATCTGGGTGCTCAAAGTTCATAATATGAGAAGGGGGAAAACAAACAGACACACTTCACCACTGATGTCCTTCCTTAAACTACAGTCTCACCAGAGACTGACCGTTCTTCTTGCCTATGACCTCAAATAAGAATTCAGTTTAGATCTTTAGTCAGCTCGACTGTCTGGTTCTCCTACTCTAACAGATATTGTTTGGTATTTTATGTATAAGACTACTGATCTAAATCATACAGGGGCCTTTAAAAAATCTAAAAAACGGGAACAACGTCCCTGCCCTGAACAGCTTTAAAAAGACTCCCTGCTTTGAACAGTTTATGCAGTACAATTTTCTCTCATGCCTACCCCTTAAAGATACTTAAAATGGATGATTTAAAAAAAAGTTTAAAAAAATGCGTGAAAATTCCTCCTATACATAAGACATTTTAGAGAGAGAATTTTTCAGATTTTTAATGTTAGAAGGGCTCTCAAGAGCATCCAAGTCCAACCTCCTGAACAGATGCAGGATTCACTACTGTTAACCAATTCCAACAGTAAAGGAGACTTCCCCAGGCAGCTTGTTCCACTGCTCTTACAGTTAGAAAATTTGTTCTAAGATTTTTATCTAGGCCTGCTTTACTGCTGTTTAAACTCATTGCCTTCTGTCCTTCCCTCTGCAGCAAGGCATACCATTTTTCTCCATCCTTATGACTATCTTTAAAATATTTAAAAACTACTATCATGTACACCATGAATCTCCTTTGTCCCCTGCAAAGTAGACAGATTTATTTCCTAAAACTTTTCATCATATGCTTTACATTCCAGCCCTTTCAGCATCCTAGTTACTCTCTTCAAAACCCTCTCCAGTTTCTTCACATTCCTCACAAAGTGGGATGGCTAAAACTAGGCAATACTACAAATATGGTGAACAAAATCTGTATTTTGTCCTATAAATATTTTTCTCTTCAAACAAAGTAACGTGACTCCAAGGAGATGGTTCTCCAGCTCCCGAGCCCCGCTCAGAATCCACAATATACTTCTGCACCTCCAGAATTCTCCTAATCCCAGTCCCTCCCCCAATACAAAAGTTAAGACCAAGCAAACTTTTCCAAAAATATCACATTTATATCTAAATGTGTGTTCTGCCCACTCCTGATACTATTTCTTTCCTGTGCTGAGGCTTCTGCAACTTCTCCAGTCTTCTGGACTCAAGAAATTATGAGGTTTTTTTAAGATACCTCCACAGACAACAGCATCCCCAAGCTACCTACTTCCAAGTCCCCATCTCAAACTCCTCTGGCTGTGAGGTTTGGTATCCAAGATTTGTATTTGGACCACATACTTTGGTTCATGAGGAACATTTTTATAATGACCTTTTGTGATGATGAAACATACATGATTGATAGCTGTAGAATTTAATTACTGTATGTATTTGACAAGAGTCAAGAGTGCCATGCTGCGCAATCAATGTGACCCAATACCAACCTGGAGATACCACTGTTAGAGACAGAATCTCAGTTAATTTTTATACTTCCTGATGTGAATATCCACCCATTCCTACAGGCAGTCCTAACCAAGCGGTACGCCAGTGAAGATACTTCAGATCCATCTCCACTGGCTGCTCTTGAGTGCTCATTATCATGTATAAGAGACAAGCCGAGGGTGGTCCACTGGTGTACTTCCAGGCTTGTAGAGTGCTCATGGGTGCAAATGAGCAGGATGGGCTAAAGAAAAGCCCAGTCAGGACAGGCTACTACTGACTGTAGACACCCCCACCCCCCACCACCCCCAGATATTAAGGCCAGAGGAGACCTCCTGAATAACACAGCACAACATTTCTGAGGGCGCATCCACACATGCCAGCACGTGCACTTGCAGCAACTCAAATAGTCCTCTCCTTGCTCCTCCAGCCCCCTCAACCCCTTACTTACGGCACTGGAGCCCTGGTGCTGAAGCAGCTGCTTCAGCACCAGCATGACAGGCAAACCACAGAGACTTTCTGGCAGCCAGAGCATCTCCGGTTGGCTCAAGACACGGTCCGGGACCACACCCTGCCCCGCTTTTATAACCTTCGGGTTTTTTAGACCTCCTGATATACAGGGGTCTAACTTTCTCTGTGCACTACAAGTTTGCAGCATAGGGAACATTTTTTCATTCCTGCACATGCCTCTTGCCCCGTCTCAAAGGGGTTTAAGATGGGGCAAGAGGCACGTGAGCGCTCGTCTGGAAGCACCCTTACAGTAGTTTCTGCATCAAGCCCATAACTCATCAAAGCTTTTATAGCAAACCTTTTAGAAAGTCATCCAGTCTCAATTTAAAGACTTCAAGGTGATGGACTATCCATCACATCATAGATTCAGAGATTCATAGATGTTAGGGTTGGAAGGGACCTCAATAGATCATCGAGTCCGACCCCCTGCATAGGCAGGAAAGAGT